TTGGGGAGGAAGCCACACAAATCCGCAAAACCTGCCCTCGATTGCGTTCTGGGTTAATCGGCAGGCATTTGGCAAGCAATTAAAAAATTTCGGACGGAAAGTGGCGGGTAGACCCAGTAACCCAAACATCTCAATTGAGGTAATCAGAAGAGAGCAATTGTCGTGCGAAGGGGGAGAGAGTAGCGAGGGCTATTCAAGATCACCGCGAAAATGGGGAACGTAGTTAGCGGAATGAGATGAGGGAAACTCCGTCTGCAGTGTAGGTAGTTGCTCAGCCAATATGGCCATATTTTTTAATGGAGTCGAAGTCAAACAGATAGGATGACCCGACCTTCAACTTGTGTCATATGTGTTTCGAGCCCGTGAGGATTTATTTGGTTTCACTGGCGAAAGGAGGGAAAGGGAATTAAAAGCGTCGCAGTTGGTGCGCACGGGATAATGCATTGTAGAGGACGTTAGGTGAAAGGCTCAGTGGAGTGATTCCACGAAGGCAGGTGGTCAGAACATGATTCTGATGAGGATGTCCCGCGTGTTAAAAGAAAGTCGGCATATCGCGTGTGCGTCACGAAGCTCGAAATACGTGCAGGAGGGATGCTTTGGTGCATGATCATGTTCCGTGGGGGTTCATGGTTTCCGGACTGGAAAAAATGAATTTCCGATGGAAGATTGTTGCAGGCGCAACCAAACACAAAGTAGGATGATATTACCGACAAAAACAAGGGAGACTGGAATGGCCATTTCTGGCTTATTAGCCGTCGTCAGCCAGCCATACCCAAGCCCGAAGTGTGGAACACCCGAGCCTCGAACTCGCGACCTGTTGGTTTTGAAGTCAACGTCTCTACTCACCGGGCCACGAGCCCGTTGCCTTGTCGGTTTTCAATCGGGAATATACAGTGTTAGGGGGCGCTCACCGATCGTTCATACGGAACTCACTCTTTCCGTTGTGCCTTAAGGGCTCTCTCTCGAGCCCAACCAGCAGCCGCAGAGCGGCGCATGATATATAGGCAGAATGGGCTCGTGGCCCGGTGACTAGAGGCGTTGACTTCTAAATCAACAGGTCGCGAGTTCGAGGCTCGGGTGTTCCACACTTCGGGCTTGGGTATGGCTGGCTGACGACGGCTAATAAGCCAGAAATGGCCATTCCAGTCTCCCTTGTCTTTGTCGGTAATATCATTCTGCCTATATATCATGCGCCGCTCTGCGGCTGCTGGTTGGGCTCGAGAGAGAGTCCATAAGGCACAACGGAACGAGTGAGTTGCGTATGAACGATCGGTGAGCGCCCCCTAACACCAAACACAAAGTGTCAGATATAGTCCGCTAAGGCAGGTTCGAGGCGATATTCTAGATACAAACGTGCGATAACGATAAGTAAATCAATAATAGTATCATAACCGGTAGGTCGCATATTACTAGTTTTCCGCGGACAATTTCTCGAAGTTATGGAGGAAGATTATCTGTGTGGATTAAAATATTAAAGAATTATAGTAGTCAGAATTAAAACAAAGGTTCCCCTTCCTCAAAATGCTGGAGCTTGAATGATGGTCTAATACCTTACACGAATATCCCTCTAAATATATCGTTCCCAAAAGTTAATGTGTAAATATTTCGAATATTCTTTGTTACATTTCATCAGTAGCATACCAAGTGCTCTCACTAAGTGTGCTCTCCTCGTGCAATCCACAATCTCGATATTTGTGAATCGGCAAAAAATAAGTTCTTTGCAAAAATCAAGTTCCTGCTGACCCTGCACTTTTTGAATTTGTGGTTACTCTTATGGGCATTAACTGTTTACGCCTGTTTTATGACTACCGGGTCATTTCGACAAGTTATTCTAACTTCCATGGTTTGCCGAATTTAGCGCAACCCAGTTACTTGTGCCGTTTTTATTACAGTTTTACAGCAACCTTTCACCATTCTGCTAGCTGTTGGCAGTTGGTAGTTTGCGGCTGAACCATCACGTGCTTAGTTTGGTGTCTGAACCGCCAGATACCTCAACAAAAAACGTTCATCAGAAGTTTTTGAGCACGAAAACTGCAGGCTCTGTCTGTTCTAATAGGGACCATAACTCCGAAATTTGCCAAACACTTGACCAATTTACTTGTAACGAACGCTAGTTGACGTTGAAGGAGAAGACGAGTATGGAGACTTCAAAATAAATAAGGTTTTGAAAAGTCAAGTTGGCAAACACGTGTTTTCGGTAATTCTTCATCAGGCCAGTACAGTTAGTTACGTGAAGGAATGAAAATGTACAAAATTAACAGTGTTTATAGGCATTGCAAAGCCCACTGTTGCAACTGCAGAAAAGAAGGATGTATTCATAAGACTGCCTTTTGCAGGGGACGCAGCCAGCGAGCTTGTCAGACGGCGCATGACTACAGCTATCGCGAGACCATTCCCCGCGGCGAATTTACGAGTATGTTTTGCAAACTCTCCCTTCCTACGTTTGGGAGGTAAAGACAGACTACTGTTGGAGGCCACATCACTGTGCATCTACTCATTCACTTGCTCCTGTGGAGCGGGATACATCGGCCGTAAGACGGGACGCCTGGTAAAAAGGGTGTGTGAACATATGCCCGCCCGGTTAGACAGAGGTGAGACCCGGTCGATTTCGAGTTCTATTCTCGCGCATTTAATCGATACGAATCACCGAGTCGATGTCAAGGAAGCATTTCAGGTTGTCTATCGGACACCAACAAGCTTCTCTAAAGGCCTAGGCCGACGGTTACTAGGAACAGCCGAGGCAGTGGCTATACAGCTAGCGAATCCGGTGTTATGCTGTCAGAAAACCCTGACACAAGCGCCCTCTCTGCCGTGGCCAACGCCAACTTCAAGTGATGACGACATGTCGCCTCAAATCCCTAATTACAGTGATGGGTACTCTGTGTACTCAATCCAAGAACACTCAAAGACTCTCTTACCCCCCCCCCCTCTGTTTTAGCTCTAAGGACCGAAACCCGCCGACCTTGTCATGCGGGTGGCGTGGGGAAGATGAGTCGTACTGACTTAATAGCCCTTGAGACACCTATAAATACTGTTAATTTTGTACATTTTCATTCCTTCATGTAACTGTACTGGCCTGACGAAGAATTACCGAAAACTCGTGTTTACCAACTTGACTTTTCAAGTGTAACATGGGAATATTGCGGAAATAAGGTTTTATTTATTCGCGGACGCTTTCAAATAGAAGCCATTGTGTCGAGCACGCCCAGCATCTCGGACCATCAGAAAGGATGCACTTTAACCGCAGGACAATGTACTCTATGGAACTGTCAAATAACCATCGTTACTTTCTTTTCCCTTATTTCCTAGTATTTCTACCAGGCCACGGATCTGTGTTTACCTTATGTTATGCAATAAAATTGTGCATTTGCATTGCCCAAATATATTCTTATTGCTAATTACCGTTATGGATTCTGACGTTTTATCTGGAAGGTGAGGAAATAAATTCCGTTTTGGGGTTTGCCAGATGTCCCAAAAATCCGTAAGGGATATAATTAATCCTATGAACTGACAGACCGTGAAGCTCTAAGTAAACAGATACCGGATCTCCTTCAGCGCAGGGGATATTAGTACTTGGGAACAATTTCAGCTGTTCAATGAGCCCTGTATGCACCTACTCTCAATTATTGATTGCTGTATTCCGCCCGCCAGTAACTCCTTCCAGCAATGTTTGCGTATCTGTCGGCGGACTAGGTGCAAGATAACTTATAAATTTTAGAAGCCTGTTGATAGATGTTATCTTCGGCCTGCGTCTATGAGGACACGACGGATGATGTCAGGTCCCCGTAGCACGATGACGTCTCCGCATCCGAGGACATCAACTCCGCTGAAGACGATGACGCTGACGTGCCAGAACCATGTCTATTCCTCTACTTTGTGAAATATTTAGAACGCTTCACGTTAATTAGGACGTTGATGAGTTAGACTGACACTTGCTTAGACATACCAAGTAGACCGGCGAGAAATTACTGATTGGTATTAGGTTTTTGACTGAGCAGGGGGCATTTGCACGCACGCATGGGTAATGTGTTGTGTAATGACTTCACCAACCACAACACACACATGTCCTGCACGTTCACATGACCAAGGTCGTCCTACGACCAATCGCATGTCAGCCCTGGAGGGATTGGACAAGTCGAATTACGGGCCACACTTCACGGCTATAAAGATGAAGTCGCGAGCTGATACTGGCAGTGTTTATTCCCCTCCCCAAAGCAATTATTAATCGGACACTAGAAACCGTCCAAGTTCAGGTAACAAAATTTGCTTTAACAAGCAGGCCTTTAGAATTTGACGATTATCTTTTTTGAGGGTCATTTCTATGCACTTCTTCAAATGAGCTGTTTGCGAGGGCTATCATACAACACTAATTATTGTATAAAATTGTTATATGTCCTCCAGACACAGCTCGAAAACGTGCCCTTTTAATGTCTAAGGGTGGTTCGATGCTGTCCACATATTTAGGTAAAACACCGTGAATGGCCACCCCAAGTTAACGCATAAATTAATTTTTTTTTGTCATCCATGAGGGTACTGTCTCTATTTTGCACAAGATTGGTAAACACGCTAAAAAACTAATCCGTAGGAATTCGCCATAAGATGAATTAAATTCGGCACGAGTGCTAAAGTTGTATGCCGTTTAATACACCTGAACAGATAGCAGTTAAAGTGTAGAAGGCGATTCTTTTGAGAAGGATTTGTCTGTGGGAGGCGTATCCTGCAGGATGGCGCGGCACAAAGCTTAGCATTCTGTGCAATTAATAGGGAGGAACCCATGGAGCGCAGGGCCGATGTTGTGGGAAGGATGGATAGGTAGATTGTATGAAGATGTGCTAATTCGTGAAAAGTTAACCGAAATTCTGAAATGCGTTTTCGACTCGAAAAGATACTAATCACCATGCAGTATAATCCCATAATAATTCAGTTACTTCAGGATGCCAGCTTTTGGATGAACTTCTTTCCGGTCGCCTGCTATAGAGGCGCTCTGTAAAAGAGGACTACTAAAGTAGCATGAGTCTTTTTCATTGATTTTCGATGCTCTTCGATGTTCAAATAGATCTCATATAAAGCAAGCATAAACATATTCAGTCTTCTACTCATTTAGTAGAAGTTAGCGTCTTCTTCAAATTTGGTACTCGAAGGAAGTGTATAATTCGGTTTTAAAAACTCTTCGAGTTCCCGAATGATTTTGAACCCGACCTGACGTTACACTTGCGTTCAGGTTTTCCAAACTACAAGATGTATATTATCCGTTTACAAGAGTCCATACATTTCTCTACGGTATTAAAAAGAGACTATGTGGGGTTTATAACATTTGGCAGTGGATTTGATCCGTATTGTGAACTTTACGAGCAACATTAGTAAGTGCAGTGACACATGGTGTTACGAACGGGCATTTTACGGTCTTAAAAATCTCACAATTGAAAACTTTTTAAAACCTAATTATACCCTTCTTTCAAGTATCGTATTTAAAGAAGACGTAATTTTCTACCAAATGAGTAGAAGGATGAATTTTTTGTGCATGCTTTTATGAGAAATGTTTGAATTTATAAAGGTATCAAAATCCACGTCCGTAAAATAGTCACTTTCAGAGAATATCGTCTTAGCAGGCGACCGAAAAGAAATTTATTTAAAAGCTGACATTGTGAAGTAATCAAATTATCATAGGATTATGCTACGTGGCGATTAGTATCACAACCCTACTTAAGTAATCTTTTTGAGTCGAAAACGCATTTCAGAATTTTGGTTAACAGTTCATGAGTTAACACACCTACTGTATGTCTCCTTCTAAATTGTTCAAACTCCCTCTTCACAAATGATATACTCCGTAATACAAACCTACCGGTGACGTTCGGCTTGCCGTCGTCCATATCGGGGTGTCAGAGAGATGAAGTACGAAATCAAATGAACGAGGTCCACCGCAATAACGAATCCCATTTTTAAGTATGAGGGTAACAAATTATACTGAACGTCATAAAGCAATTCCGTTCAGTTACTGGGTTTTGTGATACAAATGATTGTAGGAATTATAATTTCAATGTGAACGTTACAAAAAATATGATTCCACGGTACTAGACTACTGAAAAGGCGCATAAAACAATAAACTATTATAGGAATAACAAAATTGCAACTATTCCTGTTACTGGATTAGGCATCCGACTGAATAGCGTTATTGACTCCCTATTGCAGGCACAACTCGAAAGCAAATTTCATTAAGACTGAGGGAAAAATTTGACTCTGAATACTCAAACGTCTAGTGTCTGACAATAACTTAATTCAGGTAAGATCGTATTCACCGAAAGTGAGGAGACCCTTAGAGAGAAGGCAAAGCTGGGAGACACTCGTTTATTGCTGCGAGATTTAATTAGACCCAGAAATGATTCTAAAATATAAAAGTCAGTGGTTCATGCAGCCGCATTCCATCGCCATTTATGAGTATCGTATTCTCAATTATTTCTTGTCGACTGAAAGCTTCAGTATGGCGGGCATTGCACGTAATCGGAGACGGACACTCGTGGGTCTTCCGTCTTCAAAAGCCGTTTGTGATTGGTTTCAAATTTCCCTGGTCAGATTGGTTAAGACTGTGTAAATTCGTGAAGAACGTCCCATATGAGCGCAGTTACGCCCTACTCAATGAGTATTGACATACAAACAAACACTCAGAAAACTTGTGTCCCTAGAGAGCGGTCACGCCGACAATTCCCTTTTACGGCAGGAAATTTGAGAATGATGGAGAATTCTCCTGTGCCATCTTCGATTTCACCGTATTTTTCTCACTGAAACTCACCGACTGATCGCGGAAGAAGGGTCAACGCTGCTGTCTACCTGAAAATCCTTTGGTTAAATGTTCTATAACACACAGGATTTTCTTTGCGTACCTTCATAATGTAAGATCCGCTGGTCCTAGCCATCGCAACAGAACTGCTCCACACTTTGGATGGATGTTTGCAAGCGCTCACACGCAGTTACCAGACGTTATCGCCAATGTGCCAAAAAGAGTTTAATCTTCGAAGACGCCTCCTACGCTCCATCGAAGAGAAATGTCTTCTGTCCCACTCTTGGTGTAAAGATCCATAACAGATCCAGATAGACTGATGTTTTTAGCTAGTGCAATGCCAAACGACAGGCGTTATTCAATTGCACTTGGATCTGCCGAACCCCGACCGTGTGCACCAGCACTGCAGTGTAGGATCAATCGCACTGCGACCCACATGGTGGTGTAGCGGGCAGCCATCACGATCGGTCTGGCGTTCAAGACCTCGCCGCCTCAAGGTCATCCGCCCTTTTACAGTGAGCCGTTCCAGACGCGCTGACCTGAAGTCACACGACCAACAGCTCGGGTATACCTGCGTCCGCACAGCCGCGGCTACCGATGCGGCCACTTCAACGCACCTCCCCCCCCTGAAACCGCGACCTAAGCCACTGGGACACCACCCCTCGGTAAATGCAACACACACTGGCTGGACGCCACTTGAGCTTGGTCCACGAGCCTACGAAAGCGGCTGCCACCACTGTCTTGGTGACTCTCGGGCGTGACTGGACGCAGTCAACACCAGCCCTGGCTTCGCCAGTGGCCACTGCCTGCTGAGAGGACAAATCCGTGTTCTGTGCACAAAAAACCCCTCATTCTGGTGCCTTCCGTCTCCCTACAACTTCCGATCTGACCCGACGATGGTAGCGCACAGACAGGGACACACTCACACCGTCTGGTCACAACAGTAGTTAACAAGGTAGCTTAAGGCCCATTCTGACCTCCTCCCAGCAACTACATGCAAGCCAATATCGTGGGTTTCATTACAAGTTGTAGAAGCCACCTGTGAGTGGAAGACCTCCCTAAATAGAAGTTTGACGCCCAACCATCAAATCGAGAAACGGACTAATTGAAGATGTAGGCACATCCCGCCTATTGCGACCCTAAGCTACTTGCCTGAACGTTAAACAAGCGTTTTTTCCCTTTACTGTAAACCGTCTTTTCCTTTTTCATATGCACTAACTGAGTTTTCGCATTTACATTATGTTTTAGGGGCATCATGTTTCATTCCATTGTGTCTCTTCTGATTTCGCTACCAGCGATTCTTGAATACCTGGGTCTTACAACACTTAACTCCACTCTTTCAAGTTCTCCGGGAAATGAGTATGAACAGGGTGATATTAGAACATCAGAGTCATTCGGCCAGCCGTTGTCCGCAGCCATCACGGAGGGGATATCGCGAAACCTCAGCGACTCTTTCAATCCTTCAGGTTACAACGACTTCTGCACAGTTTACTGTCTGTAGTCTTAGGAAGATCAAACCATTCCAGTTTAGAGCATTCGACGCCCTCCTTCCAAGTGGTAAAAATGCTTGAAAACTAACCTTCAGGATCTGAAACGTCGTTCACAAGAGAGGCTGAAGGACTTTAACACCTTTTTGCGATCAAGGCAATTTGCAGATATATCGCGAAACATGCGTGGCGCATTTACATGGGGTCTATTGAAGCAGTACAAAGAGTCTACCATGGAGGCTGATAAGATTGTTATCCTAGAACAATTGGAGGAAAGTTTGCATAAGGTTACACTCGCTTTTTTCACATTTGTTCCTATTGCCCTAGTTTGAGACCGCGGAAGATTTCGCTAAAACTGGTGGGTTGACCGAGCTGGCGAGCAACTTATCAGACGTGTCTAAACCCTTGAAGGCAAAGATAGTGCGATGTTTGTCAGCAGCCGTACAAGGGTAGGCGCACTGTGATTGGCCCTTCACGTTTTCGCCCAGCCTATTTAAACTAAGATAGCGGAATATGAAGCAATCAAAGTAGGCGATTAAGCCACGTCTATCGAAGGACTGGACGACAAATGGATTACTATCAAGTAGCCCTCTTTTTAATAGCTCAACATACGAACGACTGATCTCGTTTCAGCAAACTACCCAACTGAGTTGAATATATTCAATCAGTTTAAAGCGCTGCGGAATGTAATTAAAATGCATCCTCATATTTAGAAGCAGGTTTACGTACTAAGATTGCATAACCTGTCTGGAAAAATGCATGAGTTGTTTTTTAGTCCTATGGAGAGGTTTCTGTAATTTCGCAAGTCCTACCCGAAATCGTGCCTTCTGTGAAATATGAAAATGAAAACAAAACTTTACTTGCCTCTCCTGTCAAACATCAAATTCAACCTTGTCGGAACGATTTTCACCTACAGTTTCATAAATTTCAGGTTTTCGAGGCAAAAGATATGAAACGTGTTGTTAGGCCGATACTTGGGATAAACGCGATTTCCGAAGGCCTTATGTTTTGAAACAACGTTAGGTCCCTTGCTGAGATAACCACTTCAAGTATTTTTGTCCTAATCTCTGTTAGCAACTCACCGTCGAAGCACAGCTGCATAGCATTCAGTTCGCATTTTCGGATAAGTCGGAATATCTACTTTGGCATGATGGTTTTATGCGTGACAATAAGAAGTTTAGGACAAATCGACGAGGCTATAGTGGAACGAGCACGCATTTCCACTTTGCTTTTAAATCTTGATTTGAAGAATATATACATACTAAGGTGGCTTGGGCCGCTACAACTGTTCCCTTACCCAAACCCCAGCATTCAACTAACGGCTTATTCTGGTCATTTATTTTTTCATAATAAGATGCGATCCAGTGAAAAAAATCATGTTCAAGGCTGGCATTCTTGAGCAGATGAACTCCTTATGGCGGCAGGAATTAACCAGCGAATCGCCGAGCGCCAGATTTTTGGCAGACTGTCTACTCGTGGTTTCCTCAATGCTTCGAAACTATCCGGCCGCACAAAATGCATTCTTTTCTGAACGGTCGGACACGGGAGATGCAGTTGCCTTTTCTCTTCTCCGCAGCACTACGGAATCACCTGCATGGACGTGCTATGACAAATATTGTCGCAGACTTAAGTTTCGTATTTTCCGTCTTTTGGGCGATCTCATCGATGAAAGGGTAGGGCTTCTTTTAAAAGTCCACAGTCCAATATAATTTACACCAGAATCTACCCTACACCTAAAATTATACTAGTCCTGGTTGGCTAATTAACTTTGTTTGTAGTAACAGGTGTATTTCTGGGCGCACTATCTGTCTTGATTATTATTCACTTGCAGTCTTTTCTATGCGTGTTGACTCTACTTGCCTTTTGACACATTTTTTGTCAGAATTACCTCAAGGAAATGGAAGCCGAAAAACGCAAAATCTACTCTGAGTAAGTACTACTTTAGTGCATTTTCGCGTTGTGTTGGAGAGACAGGTTCCTTAAAATCAAGAGAGAGAGAGAGGGGATAGATAATAAATTTTTCATAATAACACAAGCTTGTGAGCAATCTCACAGATAGAATCTCCTGCCTGATTGCCTTATTGGACGACATTCATGCGACCTTTCACCAAATAACAGCATTAAACTATTAGAAACTATTCAAAGGTATGAAGGTAATAAACTACGGGGTACCAAGCACTCCAAGGTGCATTTGACTCCCTCTGGCATGCTGCCACATAACAACTTTGTCCTTTAAGGTTTGACCTGCCTACAGAAATCAGGAAGCATGGTTGGTGTCACCGTGTAGTGGAATTAGTATTGGATAGCGAACTGCTCAATACGCATGTCAATCTGGAGAGTGCTCTCGAATGCGGAAAGGAGATCGCGCAAGCATGCTCGCGAAGAGACTTATTCGCGGAGGACCAGGAGCCTGAAAAGCTCGCAGCCAAGCTAGACGTCCTGGAAACTGAGTATGCGGGTCTCGCTAGAGCCGATACAGAAGACGATCTTCAGTACTACGAGAAAGTTCGTCGTTTGGTGGTGGACTTCCGAAAGGCTGTCTACGGCAGTGACTCACTTGCCACACCAACGCCGATCCATGTTTGATTTTCTTTGATCACGCTTGTATCCATTTGGCTCACGGCTTCACTGGGTTATTTCATTCTAGAATATATTTTGCAGTTTGACATCTTTCTTGCTTGCATTCTACTAAGTCGAGCTTGAGGATTTTAAAGCAGAGTCGAAGCCCTATGCAGGCGTTGCATTAGTCGTTACCTTATCTGTAGATTTTGGGCATGGGAGGCGGAGCAGGAAATCTCAAATTTTAATCGACTTGATTTGGGGAAGTATTCTGCTGTACAGTCGTCCGGTTTGGACATATTTTGCGTAAATACTGTATTTCCGTTCAACAATTTTGGAAATTATTCTGACGGTCAATTTGTTCCTTAGTCTTTCTGCGTACGTGCTGCGTGACTTTCGTCATTTTTATACAAATCGATAGGCAACGTAATCGATCGGTCGAATACTTATGTTACCAGGCAATATATTTATATTGTTACGGTGTTTCTGAAAATCAATAGAATAAGAGAGGCGAAAGATAAGTTTTAATATTTCATTCTGAGCCAACGATCTAGGCCATTTCTTGCTTTAATGCTCTAGCGACGGCAGCTGGCTCCGTGAAGTTCTCTGACTCAAATAGTGTGACCTCGTGTAGCTGCGAATTCATGACTTTTAAGTGCGGAAGGATTTGATTGTGCGGGATTTTCTTCATGATTTGACGGGGTTGTCGGACAAAACCGATGTGACCCTCCAAAACCCCAACACTAGAGGTCCACAATTAAGCCGAGATCTTCTCATTCAGGTAGGGAGGTCAAAACTTGGTTGATCACCAAAAGTTCCGGACCTGATTTGGATTTTTCGCACTTTTACAGAAGTTCGTTGTTGGAGTCAGGGTATACGGGAATAAATGAGTAAGGTTTATTGTGACCGCTTACGGGATGCTCAAAGGTGCCCTCTTCTGGATACTACTTCATTGCTACGAATTGAGATGCAGGATCTAATACATGATTTTGTAGAAGCCCCAGTCTGATTCTATTCTAGGTTGCTTCTTGTCCATGTGATCTGCTTCTACGTCCGAGGAACCTGGTCGTGACCTATTTTTTCATGGTTGGCAACGAACTGGGGTAACCGATCACACCAATTGCACTGAGTCTGTTCTCATGTAGGTTGGAGCTCGAATCTCCTATCCTCTGGCGATCTCAGAACAACTGGGCTATTGTCAAACGCCTTGTAGGCCCTTGCTTGATCTTCGCTTCTGACAAGCCGTTGTCGTTGACAGAGGTCGGAATGCTTGTTCTTTCGGCTACCGATCATTGGTTGACTCCTACCGTGCGCAACCCAGTTACTGGCAGTCAGAAATCGAGGCTAAATTGAATCGAAACTTGCTTTTCCGTCAAGTCTGATTTAGCTAGCACACAGAATCCCCCGCCTTCTACTTACCTCTCTGTACGAATGTGAAGTAGTGGGACCCGAAACCGATCGCTGATTGGTCAAATGGGCCGATGCGTGTCCTTTACTGACGGCTCTACTGACTGTGTTAGCTGGGGTTATGAACCATTTCACATTCTCAAAAACTACAATGAACAAACATCACGTACGGTTAATTTACTTTTTTTCCTAGACAGTGACGAAAATTAATTCAGCAAACATTTATTCGAAAGAATGTTGCCGTGGCCGAGACAGGTTAATTTAAATTCCGGTGTTCCAGACAGCAAAAATGCCTAACGATCCCCATAAGGCACGTAAACCTGCTTACATTTCGCGCTACACGACGAGCCAGACGTTTAGATTAATGGTAACGGATATGAAAAAAAAACGAGTGTTTAGTTATTCATGGACAGTAAAGTACCCGTTATCGATTCATATTGACCCAACTGTGAAAAACTCGGCGGCTCAGTGGGATTCGGACCCATGCATTAAGGTGCAGGCTTTAGTACAACCAACGCTCTAACCACTTAAGCTACGAGACCCCGCCGGACGACACGACATTAATCACATTTGGGTCAAGTAACCTGCCCAACCTACTGCAACGTCTGGAATCCACCAAATCTGATACAGTAATTTGACTGCCCAAGTAGGATTGTCTAAGTTATTCACCTAAAATTCACCAGATGACTACCAGGCTCACGTAATTCATAGATGTTATCGTTTTCAGTGTTGATGATTGTCGAGCCGCATAGCTACACGTTTTTTCTCACTTGCCGCGGATCTGTCCTTTTATGTGTTAGTATCGGTGAAGTAGGTCGTTTTGCCGATTGAAGGGTCGCTCGCAACTGCTACATGGTCGATACCTCAGGCAAGCCGCGTGAATGCGTCAAAGTCGGAGTTTGCATCCATTTTCAGCGATATGGGCTTGAACCTGTGACTTTGGATCTAGCCTCCTCCCTGCTATTCACTGCTCATACACCATCGTTCGCAGTTGTCGGTCGGATTCCCTGACAGCCCGGCACCGGATAGTAGACGAGGGTACACAACTCAGAACTGTTGGCTATAGTTTCCTTCTATCCTTAACGGAAGTTATTAATAAGACTTCTTTTGTCTAATCATTCCAGCTATTGGTGGGACCGTACTTGCGGCCTCTCGTTCACTTCGTGCTTCTGGAGATGAGTGCATACGGATCTGTCAGTGGGGAATGCAGATTCTGTGGAAGTGGGCCATCTGGTATTCCCTGATAACTCACATCAAACAAATTGCACATGTTGTTCAGCAGAATACCGCTCACGCATAATCATTGAGGGAAGTATTCATCCGGAGATTTTTAAAAAAGTTGGGTCGAATCTTATTTCATAGCCGTACCTGCAACAGACAAGCCGCAGCCTAGCCCCCAACCCTAACCTCTAATCCCTAATCCATAACCCCAGCCCCCAACCTTAGTCCCCAACCTCTAACCCTGATCCCTAACCCTTAATCGCAACCCCTAAACCTACTCACTCCCCCCTAGCCCCTAACCCTAAACCCTAACAGGTTTGGCTTTGAAATGAGGTCTTGCCAAAAGTTGACGATACCCGTGAAGTCTCCCTGCTTCAGGAGGGGAGTTATGGGTGGTTGAAATTTGATTGAAGAGATTTCCGGAGTGATTGATGCATGAACACTACCCGCCGAAGAACTGGTGGAGACCTAGCCCCTAACTCAAAGGTAGCGAATGCCGCAGGCCTAATTGCTTCTGAGGCTAATGCATGCAAGTCGAGCAGTGTCTCAGTCACCAGACCGATTACTATCTCCCTTGTATTTCGAGAACTCTTGAATTCAAATAGTCGGCAGAATTTTTCACTTCAAAATTCGTTGTGATGTCTAAAGCCCGTTCAATGGGATGCCAAACTGCCCGTCGTTGGGCACTTTTTAATGACCTTCCTCTGAGGTAGAGTTTACTGTCTGCAGACTCCTGTGAGATCACGGTGACTGATGGCTTAATTTAAATAGTGTCGCCTCAATAAAGGGAAAACAGATGGCAAGATTCATGAATTAAGATTCCAAGACTGACCGTGTGAAAAAAGGAGGACGTCTGCATCACATGGTTACTTACAGACCTTTACTACAGACCCCTGATAGACTGCTTTCTGTGTCATAGGCCTCGGAGTCTGTGGACTTCATGCTGGCTATGAAGCCTGACCCTTACGTGTGAGTTGCGCGACAAAAGTGACAGACATGTGCACCCTCTAAAGTTCACGCGACAATCCAAGCATGGGCTGAGGGGCGTTGGACTGTCTTCACTAACATGCACCCTCAGCATAGACGGCAGACTTGGTGATTTGGATTCACTTCGTGTGCATCGTGTGCTGGGTCAAGCACAGGGCCGCACATGAGTGAAGGAAAACAATTCGGTTCAGCAGACGGTGAACCCAAGAAAACCAGTGGTCATCGTGCGCACTATATGGCCTCCAAGGTGTGCGTAAGTCGAGCACGCATAATATTTAGGAGCCAATTTTGGACCCTGCTGGCGTCGCTTCTGTTCACTTCTGTCGACCGTGAACACGTTTTGGGGTTTCAATGCTTGGAGAAGGAAAAAATACCAGGTCATCCGTGCACTTGGTCTACTAGAACCAACTGATTTGTAAGCGCGAATTCTGTTATTGTAATTAGCGTTGGCGACCGTGTAGAATGTGTTTATGGGCGTCCTTCACTCTCAATAGGATCCAACCGATAACCGGTGAGTATTTCTAACCTGGACATAATTGCCCGAAAGGCTATTTCCATCTATTTTAACTGAACAGTTAATCATACACCAACTAGAGGTCAGGAAGACTCCCAACTGATCGATTTTCCGGCTTGACCGCCGTACAGTGTACTGCACATGTCTCACGGGGTCTTACTGACGCTTCCTCTCTTGTCTAAATAACCAACCATATCTTGAGAGTTTACAAGTTCAGTGGCTGGTCTTAGACGCAATCATGATCTCTCACAAGAATAATACCGGCAGCTGAAGGGGCTCCCTATGGTGTTACCCATCTCCAGCTTTCTTGTTGAAGCCACAGGGCAACAATTATGAGGTACGGCACTATCATTGACTATTTAAAGGAGGAAGGAGACGTATAGGAAATTATATGCGACACCTGTAGTGCAGGGTACTGTGGTCACACTGCCTGGTAGCCCGCCTATGTCTGGTAACGCGAGTCCCAATTCGCTATGTAGTACGGTTAACGCAAGCAAAAGAATAAGTTGCACATGGGGTGCGGTAAATAACATTAGGTTGCGGCTCTATGGACATGAAATTCTTTACTTGGGATAATGTTGTACTCTTGGGAAAGGGAAGTGCTCACCGGATAGAGGAAATTGTTTAACTGACGTTTCGAAGAGCTTGGGCGGCTCGCCATTATCAAAGCGTCTAGTGCAAAAGTCGATCATACTCTTGAATAGACAGCCGAATTAGTTGACCTTTGGCTGTACGCTTGTGGTTGATGCAGACACCCCGTGCTGAGGTGGCAGACCTTTAAATGTCTCGTCTTCTTTCATTACCTACGATTGTTGTCATAACGTTGTCGGAACCATGCTAGATGGAGATATGTGCTGGCCAACTGCGACATCAAGACGCTTGACATTTAAGTGCTTACTGGCCGATATCGGTCAGGTCATTGGACATAATTGACGGTGTCGGACTTGAGCCGCTAGTAAATTATGCTTCGCTTATTTAACAGGCAGTTATCTAAGCCGTCAGTTATTGCGTTAGCGACAGTGGTGACCTCGACGTGGTCCTAACACGCGGACGACACTTTAGTACTTCCTTACATCCCTGCTAGCACTAGCCCCGTCTGGCCCCGTATAGCCCCCGGGGCCAGACGGGGCTGGGCCCCGTTTGGGCGGGGCTACGGACGGGGCTACGACGGGGCTACGACGGGGCTGTGGACTCGATAGCCCCGTCTGGCCCTGTCCTCGAAAAAAAAGCGCAGGGGGACGCCATGCTTGAGCACGGAGATCTCCTTGATCATAACCCCAAATTTACGTTACCAGTATTTTCCCTTTCCTAATTCTCCGTACAGTAGGTTATACTATTCAACTTTTGATCGCTGTACATCCATAACCCTTACGTGAACAATATGTTACTCACCTTCATTTACAATAGTGAATGCAAGCTAAAAAGCTTATATTTAACGATAAGAGAGCGAAATCTGTCTAAAATAATGCAGAATGACGTCATTAGAAAGGATGGAAATTCACAAAAATTTGGACGGGGCCTGGCCCCGTCTAGCCCTGTCTGGCCCCCGGGGCCATGTGTTGGCAGGGATTGCACCATTAGAACCGAGGCCCTGTAGTTGCCACTGGCGTTCTGAGTAACTTTTCGCAAAATTAGTCAAGTATCTGTTAGACTGGAATAGAAGACACAGGTAAGTCATTTCTAGTACACCTGGTGGAAGATAATTAAGTCATAGTTGCTTTTTTTGGATCGCAGAACGATCGGCTTCGTGTTTGATCTTAGCATTAGAATCTTTATGACGAACGGATGGAGCGAGGCTCCCACCGTGCAATCCCTGAATATATTTACCACTAGAAATCCGAGGATATTTCATCCTGTTTTTTGAGAGGGAATTTTATTGGCAGAATGTTGCTGCCGACAACGACAAGGAACGGCCATCTCCGGCTTATTAACCGTCGTCAGCCAGTTATACCCAACCCCGAAGTGTGGAACACCCGAGCCTCGAACTCGCGACCTGCTAAGCAGAAGTCCAACGCCCTAACCACTGGGCCACGAGCCCGTTGCCCTGTCGGTTTCGATCGGGAATATATCATTGTGGAGGGGCGCTCACCGATCATGCACCGATGTGCGGCTGCTGGTTGGGCTCGAGAGAGAGTCCGTAAGGCGTAATGGAATGAGTAAGTTCCGTAAGAACGATCGGTGAGCGCCCCTTCACCATAGTGAATTCTGTATTTGCGAAAATGACATGTGGACTCTGCTGTAGTTTTGCGTTCCACATTTTCTCATATTGACAGAGGCGTCATCTACGTCACGGGGCCATATTATTTTGCCTGAGATTTCGAATAGACCATACCTCCAACTGTTTTAAGATTGCTTCGATCAGTAGTTCGGATACTAACGAGTCCATCGGGGTGTCGCCATCCTCTTGTCATCAAATTGATAGTAATTCTCAAGGTGGCGTTTAAACAGGTCGAGAACGTGCTGGGTTGGAATGCTGTTAGGATTATCCCGTGGGCACCTAGACACGCCTGAGGGAAACAGAACAATGACGCTGAACGATCGAATGCATTTAGAAGGATTTATTTTATGACTTTGGGCCTTCGGGAAGTGCTGATGGAAACCCCACCTCTCGCTATTTATTTCTCCCGAAGACAGACTGATACAACCTGCTTAAAAATCAGCGAGAACAGATCAACCTTTCCAAAACCAAATTTTTCGCACGTGTACATGTATACATACGGAGGGAGAAGACTCGTAGGACACCCTGAGTAGCCTACAGATCAACCCAAAGTCATGAGAAGACCTAGCATAGGACTGACTGACTGGAGCAGCGATCTACGAGACCAACTGAATTGCTGCTGTCAAAGCCAAAAGGGAATTGCGCAAGCCCCAGGCGTCCTTGGTCCGCAACGTCAATACCCAAGCCCTCCTAACATGCCCGCGCTCGCAATGCACATTCTGCGCCCAGATCAGCCCCGCCGAAAATCTCCGGACTCAACACACCAGCCCAGTAGCCCTAACTGCTGTTTCTCAGGCCGCCCCTGCGGCGTCAACTACGACGGCCGCTGTAAGCACTGATGCCAAATATCTCTATGCCTCACAATCATTGGTCAGTGCCATATTCATAATCTCTACCATAGCCTCCGCCTCGACGACGCCGGCTGCCAAACCTTCTACTCTTACCACCGTACGAAATCTCTCCCGACTGTACGCCAACCGCCATCCTCAGCATTACCAATCCCCACCCCAGCGATGTGGACTCGATCCTGACTTACCCCTGTCGCGGCCTCACGCATTGGCCTGGCCGGTCTCCTGCGAATCCTTCGTATTGCGACTGGCGCACCGGTGCCAAAGCCCCAACAGGCACTCGCCGAATCAGCCTGTACTATCTAAACTGTCCATGCACGCTCACACACCGCATGGGCATAAATGGTCACACACGTATCCATAAAAACGAAATCCACAGCACTTAGCAGGACTTGCACGTTCACCATCTCTCCCATTTTCAGTCCAATCAACTTGCCTTTAACCAATCTGACCACCACCAGCAGCGCCACAATAACAACCAACCAGACATTTCCAACCTATTGTCAATAGAAGCGAAGAGACGAGTCCCAGGAACTTGTCCTGAAGAAGGCGAAACGATCGCTGGGACAAAAGCTTTATTAGCCTGACTTTTCGGATTCCTGCTCGAACCCATCACCAGAGTCAGCAGCAGATACGGGTGATTCACGCACAAGGGGCTGCAGTATTTATAGGATGCAGTCGCCATGCTACCGCATGCCTATGAACATTCACGGCTCCCCCCCCCTCCCCCCTTCATCCGGGATCGTTGCGCTTGTTGTGCTAATTGTTTGATAGCCGACACTCACGTCGTTAATTGCTGCAATTTTATCACATGCGTTGAATGTTGGTGTGATGATTGCGCGACCATCTGACGCATCGACCCTGGTGTTGGGACAAGTGTTCACATGTGCGCTCCCCGCGTGTCTAATTACTCCGCCTAGGCGAAGTTTCAGCACCGAGCATGCAAGGGGAAGTTCATTGCACTTTTTAACTGAGTGGGGGCCAGTAAACCAACACCAGGGTCCCAACACCAGGGTCGATGCGTCAGATGGTCGAGCAATCATCCCACCAACATCCAACGCACGTGATGAAATTGCAGCAATTATTGACTCGAATGTCGGCCATCAAGCAATGATCACACCAAGGGCGACGATCCCGGATGAAGGGGGGAGCCGTGAATGTTCATAGGTATACGGTAGCATGGCTACTGCATCCTATAAATACCGCAGCCCCTTGTGCAACAACCACCCGTTTCTGCTTTTTTGTCTCTGATGATGGATTCGAGTAGGAATCCGAGGCGTCAGGCTAATAAAGCTCTTGTCCCGGCGATCGTGTATCCTTCTTCAAAAATCTCCAACCTATCTTGTCCACATTGTCACCGAACGTTTACCTCACGTATCGGCCTATTCGGTCACTTGCGAATCCATCGCAAAGAGACTGGTAGACCAGTGCCTGGAACACCGGCACACATCAAAAGTCACCGCCTCAGTTACCTGCATTGTCCCTGCACACTGGGTCATCGCATTGGCCTATCTGGTCATATGCGCATTTATAAAAAACTTGCGGTAAATCACCGCGGTCATGACCACGCACTTCCCCATCAACACATATATCACTCACAAACACCTCCAAAACTCCACACCACCTTTCAAGTAAGTAGCAAGTGTGCTTTTTGACCCACCTCTCCCTGTGTCTCCTCTGTTGCATGCGAAATCCGAGTATTCTACCCCCTTGTGTGTGAAATGTTGGTGTGTGCGTACGGTGGGTCAGGTCGAGCTGTTATCAGCTCTGTCAGCCGCCTCTCCTAATCTCAGCATCACTAGGTTGACCGGTTCAGGCAGTCGACTGAGGGAGGTAGACTCTCAACTCATAATTCCTCACTATAAACCACCTGACGCGCTCGTGGTTAACACGTTATGTCAAAAAGCCGTGGCCGAATGTTGCCAACTGACGCTTCAACCCAGAGCTCGCAGTCAATCCAGCGTGTGTTTGTGAGTTGGCTGACTGTCTGGTGGGGCGAGAGTCAGACTAAGATGGCTCCTTCTTAGTGGCACTCTCTCACACATGTAAGATCCAACCGCTTACCCTTGTGTGAGTAATCCTTGTGCGTGTGCTTGGGGGGGGGGGCAGGTCGTGCATGCGACGCACGCTGATGGGTGCTCTAGACTCGTCATCCACTTCGCTCACTTCCTGTATCAGACATCTGACCATCACAGACAGTGTGTTTGCGCCTGAGAGTGGGTAGATATTGTGATGTCGACGGTCTCGGCGCATATTCCTCTCTATAATCATTCTGACGTGCCTGAGACTACCATACAGCGCTAAAAGTCGTGGTCTGGAAGGTTGCCAACACCTGACGAGATAACTCGGACCTCGCAGTTGGCCCAACGCGTGTCTGTATGGAGTGGCGGACTGGTGGGCTGAGAACCAGGGTTCAATGGTTTCTTATTAATGTGGCCTCTATGCGTTCTCATCTAGTAGGCTCCGAGCCGCACCATCGTCTCCTGTTGTGTAAAATCCTGGTCAGTGTACGTTGTGGATCAGAGGGTGTGGTGGCTCGCGAGTTTTCACCCTCTCCCGCCTCCGGTCTTCTTGATTTTATCTTGACACCAGATCCAGGTGGGGGAGAAGGAACGGATTCGGTAGATGTTACGCTAGTCCGCTATAACTTTAAACTTACGCGCACTGTTGTGCAGCACACGGTGAACATAGTCGGCATCTGCATCGTGTTGTACTTCTGACTAACAGGTCGCGAGTTCGATCTCCAGGTGTTCCACACTTCGGGGTTGGGTGTGATTAGTTAATGAGCCAGAAATGGCCATTCCCGTCCCGCTTGCTTTTGTCGGTAATGTTATTCTGCCTATATCCTGCACCGCTGTGCGGCCACTGACTGGGCTCGAGAGAAAGACCTAAGGCACAACAGGACGAGTGAGTTCCGTATCCGAAAGGATCATATGCTGAGGTCATTCTAAATTATGGGAGCAGCTCAAAAAAGAACAGCAATGACAATCTCCTATGGAAAGAAACAGCTCCCCTGTATCGGTTGTTTCAGTCCAACGTATGTCCAATCAGTTTTGCGAAGAACTGCCTCAAACACCAGGCACAACCTCAAGGCGCAACACTCTAAATGGACAAGTCGTGGCACAGAAATTTTTCTCCCCATCCTATAAACAGGGAACCTCTGAAGTGATCGTCCGGCAATTATATCGGTTCGCCATCCGCATTGCCCACAAGTCAGAATTCTCTCGAATAACGTATCATATCCTAATAGAGCTAAAAACAAATGTGACCCATTGCATCCCCTGTGCTAATTGCCCCTGCGTGTATTTTGGTCATACGGTCGACGCATGGGCACCCTTACTCATGGACGCAAACCAACTGCCCGTCACCGTCACCCACCGCCCCTCGCCCTTGCTCACACATGCAAGCTCGACTACCGATTTAATTGAGATGACACTGAGGTCGTTATCGTGGCCAACACAAAACGAGCGCGTGAATTCCTTGAGACTCAGTGCTCCAATGCAAACAGTACTAAGTGCCATGATGACTTAGACGCCCATTTTGAGGGCCTACAATCACGGCCAACCGCGCTCTGCCCCCATGCCACATCAAGGACCGCTAATCCAGTCGACCGCATTCCCGCTAACCTACCATCCTTCCTCATAGGGTGAAACACAACAATATAGGATAAAGTCAACCAGGAACTTCGCCTACATAATACCGCTTATATTCGTGATCATCATAGCGAGCTCTAAACGTGTTATCACATATGATTTTAGTTTCAGTGGTATTGGAGAAACATCCGCTCAAATTCCGGGAGTGGTTTGGCCATAGAAGTCAATCCCTGCAGAACCTATCGGAGTTTAGTTCATTCTGTCCCCCAAACGAACCACCTGAAGATGCCCAGGAATAACACGGGCTCATATCGGATACTAGCAGGCATTATCCGAATGAGCACCATAAAAGATGCCAACTGGCAGACCCCGTTGCCGCCTGACGTCGCGCACAGTGGGAACCCTGCCGACCTCCCTTGTTGTTGGTGGTTAAGATTCTCGTCATTTGCTGTTTGGAACAGGGGACGTGGAGTGAAGCGCCAAGGTGCGGACCCGACCGTGACATCCAGCTGCGCTCTCCCCGCCTTCGGTCATCTTGACTCTGTCTTGACAGAGGGTGCAGTCGGGGAGGAGGGGAAGGAGGAGGGAGAGGAGGAGGAGGAGGGGGAGGAGGAGTGGGAGGAGAGGGTGCGGTAGATGCTGCGCAAGTATATTACCACTACAAACTAATTCAAGTACTTGTCCGCGTCACTGTTTCCCCTGGCTGAGGTGCTCACAGTGGACATCCTCGGCAACGATGGCCGAACTGTCATAGCGTTTGTTTCTTCTGAATCGCAACTATGCATAGATCGGCCACCGTTTTTTTTACAAATAGTATGTACTTAAAGTATTTCAGTAGAATAATCGATGTCGGTTGGAATTAAGACTCTCGAGGTAAGAGAGATGAAACAGGAATTTTATTTACCTGAGGTTTCACGTCCACACTCGTGTGCAGTAGTCGACCAAAGGTTACGGGATGCGTAGGATACAGCTGCTGTATGACTGCTTACCTATCCAAATTAACGACTCTTGCAATTATCGTGACAGTCCTACTTGATGTAATGATCGCTTGCTCGCCCTAATCCGAGTGGTTAATTGCAACAATTTCATTACCCGTACTGGTTATTGGCGAAATAATAATTCGACAGTTTTGGTCGGCGATGGTGTTATTGAAAACAGCGTTGATCATGCCCTTTCCTCATTTCTAACTATTTTCTCCATGCAAAGTCTCAGAACTGACTAAATCCGGGGAGACCATTCGGCTTGTTGATGCACGGAAGACAGTAAGAATGATGTTGGTCTGTTTTTCACCTCCGAGAGTTTAACTGCCAAACATTCCCTAACTGATTCGGTCTTTATAGAAGAACCGATAAGTAGACCCTCTAGTACATTTTAAAGTTAACTTATTGGAGGGGGGTCCCAAGCATGTCCTTTTTTCCATAGAAAACGGAGGTGGCTGAATAGTCACGCGCGATTGTCTTTTTTGCCGCTCGAAAGGTAAGTTTCGTTTTTGTAGCATTGAGATTTCCGTGAGATCGTCTGATATCTGGAGTCAGCTTTCTCCCCGAAAGGGTATACTAGGGAAACTGTAAACTAGCAAGTTGTGTTGTAAGCACTTAGTTTCGGTCCGTGATCCAACCTCCTGTTCTGATCCCCGTATTCTCAGGACTGTGAGGCCCTGACGATGGCGACTGAACACCTCCATTTCTCTTGGGGATTTTAAAACAAGGTGTTTAGAAGAAGAAAATTGGCTCTCCGGAACAGGTTTATTTAACTGCTGACGTTTCAAAGAGCTGGGTCGGCTCTTCATTGTCAAAGCGTAAACTGCACCTAATCGATCAGAAAGTTAATTTAAGGTGGCAAGCTGTGTTGGCCGGCCTCATGCTGATCGATTTTTCTCTCTTCTCACGCTGCGTCGGCCTCTCAGGAAATGGTTGACGGGCCTTTTTGCCTGTGCACTTTATGAGTCACCACTCCGTCGAGGGGAGCTGATTGGACTTTAGTCGGGCGGTCGGTCTGGCGGTTCTTGTTCTTCCTCACCGAGTAAGCTCAGCGTCGGGCTATCTCCGTGCTGTCTTCTTAAGTCCGGTGTGGTTGTTTGGTCCTGAGCTCTACGGTTGTGATGACGTAGGACTTTGTAAGCTGCAGGAAGGTCCAGATGCCTGTTGATAGAGTGGGCATCGGAGAACCACGCCTCGAGAGTTAGCCGTTCTGTTTTTGTGTTGCCTCGGCCTAAGATGGTAGCCCTCTGGAGGTCAAAAGAATGCCCCGTTTCCCCAACGTGTGTTGCTAGTTGACGGAGTGGTGACTCATAAAGTGCACAGGCAAAAAGGCCCGTCAACCATTTCCTGAGAGGCCGACGCAGCGTGAGAAGAGAGAAAAATCGATCAGCATGAGGCCGGCCAACACAGCTTGCCACCTTAAATTAACTTTCTGATCGATTAGGTGCAGTTTACGCTTTGACAATGAAGAGCCGACCCAGCTCTTTGAAACGTCAGCAGTTAAATAAACCTGTTCCGGAGAGCCAATTTTCTTCTTCTAATAATCTTCCCGGATCTCTAAACTTTTCCAATCAAAACAAAGTTTATTCGTGCCGTTAATCAAACGTTTGAATTCCGATTCATTCAAGGTATTCCATACTTGCTGAATAGCATGTTTCGACTGGTAAGTTCGATATTTGCGATATACACGCCTGAATAACAGTTTTAGCATATTCCCAACTGTGTGAAGATCGTGCTCAGAGAGGGACAGTCATTATCTCTGTCTCATTACTTCTGTAGCCCTTGTAGCCCACACGTCCAAGGTATTGTCTCACAAAGCGTAGTAGTTGATCAGGAGGCGTCTGAATGCATGACTGAGCATACCGCTTTCGATGTCAAGACGCCAACTCTTCTTGCATCTGTGGAACGGAAATCCCCCCCGACATCACGCCAGCCACATATGATCGTCAACTGAAGGTATCGGACGCTTTGCCTGGGTCACGCCAGTGGTAACTCCAACCGGCTAGACTATCCAAATCAACATTCATTTCATTGCAAAGATCACCACTTACTACTGAACGGCCCACGTAACGCGATCTGCAACCCTTAGTAGCTTTCGTTTCCTGAAATAGCCCCTTAACGGCGAAACTCGCAGAAGCTCCCGATAGACATAACGGAAATTACTGTATAATTCTGTGAATTTCACACTGAAAACACTAGCATCAAGTCCCGTTTGACCGTGAATATGCTACTACTACTACTACTACTACTACTACTACTACTACTACTACTACTACTACTACTACTACTACTACTACTACTACTACTACTACTACTACTACTACTGACAGTTCGACCAACGATTTCGATTATGTCCACCGTGTGCCCCACAGCTGCAGCAGCGGCGGGAGCAGGGACGGTGACTTGCGCAGGGGTTTATAGTGCCGGTAGACTTGCGCTGCATCTACCTACATTCTCTCCTCCTCCCTCGTCCGAGCCCGGTGTCAACACAGAGTCAAGAAGACCGGAGACGAGGGAGGCCGCAGGTGGATGGCTCGGACGGATTCTCACCTTGGCGTTCCACCACACCCCCTGGTCCACACAACAATAACCAGGATTTCAACCAACACAACCGAGATTGGAGGCTGGCACGGCCGAAGCCGCACCTAGGCGTGCCGCCGACGCCTGGCTCGGATCCCACACTGTGGTGGGAGCGCCATAAAGGCCACATTAAGAAGACGCCATTGGAGCCTGACTCTCAGACCACCACCAGTGGAGGAGGAGGTCCAAGTTATCCCGTCAGTTGACAACCTTCCAAGCCACGAGTTTTAACGCACCGTGATAGCTTCAAGCGCGTCAGATTGTTTATAATGAGGAGAAAATGCGCTGAGTCGTCGACTTCACTCGCCCTTCCCATTCCCACACCGCAACCGCTGTCCGAGCCGGTCAGCAGACTGGAGTGGGAAAGGGGCGCGGTGGCTGGCATGATCGACTGACCGTGACTGCGCGCGCCACGAGCACGACCTGGCCCCCATACACACAAACACCAGGATTTCACACAACGGGGGTTGAACGGCGTGTCTCTCATTTACGTGAGAGGGCCGTGGAAAGTTTTGTTTCAGCCCGTCGCCCAGTACACCAGTCCGCCATTCCACACAACACACACACAACGGGACGAACTGCGTGGACCGAGTGCGGGCGTCAATCAGCAACCTTTCTATCCACGACGTTTGACGTGTCGAGATAGTCTCAGGCTCAAGTCACCCGTGCTGCCGAAGCCGCACGGGGACCGAGTCGAGATGCACACTTCCCACTTGCGAGGGAGATGGCAGTTGGGTGCTTGCGGTGTGTGAGTGCTGATGTGTGGTGTGGTTGGGTGGTGGTGGTGGTGGTGGTGGTGGTGG